AAGATAATGCAAAACCGCATATGTAAAGTTGTAGAAATTATTTTCTAGAGCGTAAAAACACTCATATTTCAAAATGGTTCTCTTTTTTATAAAGCAGTCGCATTTCTGGCTGGTACATTTCAGGACGAATGGATAAGGACTGAGCCAAGAGCTTGTGTGAGCAAATCCAATTTTTGGCAGCCAATGTCAGTTACGCGGTTTTGCAGAATGACGATATGCGGTTTTGTACTTTAAACGACGATATGTAATTTTTATTTATTTATAGAATGGCTTTTACGCTGAGTGTATAGAACCCGCCACCTACATAAGTCCCGTCCCACGTGAATATACGGAAAATTGCTCGGAAAAAATTTTAATTTGGCCAGCTATAACTCAGCGGATTAATAAATTTATATGGATAAGTTTCAATTATATCACAAATTTATCAGATTTTTGCGATTTGAAAAAATAAAAAATCAATTTTCAAACCTTGAAAATTGGTTTGTTTTGTTCGTAGAACAAAATTAAAGGGAGCGCCGTACAAAATTTAGATGCGGATATATTCTGTTTCTGGGATTTCTGTTCTAAGATTGGATACAAGAGTCTTACAAGCGGAAGTTCGAGTTATCCTCGAAGCCTAGAAAATCTTAGAAAAAAGATTCGGCTACAAGAGTAAAGCAACGTTATATTCTGAAAGCCAGGCGGTGATATTAGCAACAGCATTTCCGGTTACCAGATCTAAGCAATTTGGGGAATGCAAAATTATTCTGAGTTCAGTGTCTCTGTCAATTTCCATCGCTCTTTCCTGGATTCCCAGACACAAGAACATTATATGCAAATAAGACGGCTGTTGAATTGCCGGAGGCAGGAATCGGTTTGGACGAATCCGAAGCCCTGACACTGGGTTGCCCTCTTTGAATAGTTCAAAGAGATATTAACTTGCATTCCCTTGAGATGACTAGACACAGGTGGTCAAGTAGACCTGTCAGATAGATAGGTCTGTAGACATGTAAGATATCTAGTAAACTTTAGATTGAACACAACAGGACGAGGACCTTGAACCTGCTTAGCAGATCAAGAACAGCGGTGTTAAGAATTGTAGCAAACATCACGTAATAGGATTTACCGCAGCTGCCAGCTAGAAGATAGCTAAGAAAGTGTCCAGCACTTCTTTTGTGAATGCCAACGCCTTTCGAATATTACACATAAAATATTAGGTAAACAAATAGAAGCACAATTTACCGATCTATCAGGAGCTACCGTAAGCCAAATCGGTAGATTCATTACAGAATCAAAATGGTTCGATCAATCAACATAGGGTGCACATAGACAAATATCCTCCGCGAGTAGTGCATCAAAATGGCGCAAAAACGCGCTAATTGAATTACGGACAGCGACTAGGAAGCGCTGCAACATAGAAAAAGATTCCAAAGTTGCTACCATTACAATACTCATATAAAGAAAATCCTGATACTGAGCTTGGAAAATGAAGATGTGCCTGCTGCTAAAACACCAATTTCGCGAGATTGCTCAAGAAAGCACCTTCTACCAAAATAATTTCTAGATAAATATGTATGTATATATTTAGTTTTTTTTACGTGCACGTGTCGTCATTAACTCAGAGAAACTTTGATGTTTGTACAAATATCTACATACATACATTAGGTTGGTCCTTAAAATATCAACATTTAAATTTTATGTTCTGTGCACAAAAGAAAGACATCCACAAAAATTAAAAAATTTTAAACAACTTTTTAGGGTTTGAATTTTTGTTGTTTTTTTTTATCCCAAAATAACGACCTTTCGACCAGCTATAACTCAGCAACTTTATCAATTTTTATGAGTAAAAGTCAATAACATGTCAAATTAATCAGATTTGAAGTTCAAATGTTTGCGATATAAAAAAATAATTTTTTCTAAATAAAATTTTTAAACTTTTTGGGATGTCTATTTTTTACGTGGAACAAAATAAAACATTACAACATTTGGATTTTTATATTTATCAGGACCACCCTTATCTACATCAATATTAAATATAAAGTAGCTATGATAAGAATATAACTTAATTTCATTCATGCTGTCAGTGTATGTTAGTATATATATATATATGTACAGTTTAACCAATAAAAAAACCAAACCAAAAAAATTTTTCTTATCTTTGACATCCAAGATAGCCTGATCAAACCTGTCCAAATAATGATAGGTCGTACGAGAAATCAAAGCAATGATGAGAATTGTAAAAACTTGGTTAATGAAACTCAGCTTTAGAGTTTTCATTTATTGGGGTATATTCTTGTTTTCACACGAATCGAAAATCATGAAAATATCCTGTCATTTTCTGTATAAAAATTTAATATTTTCGATTCGTACAAAAACCAGAATATGCCTCATTAATGCTCTAAAGTAAGAACCGGAAATACTTTTTTGTTTATTTATATACTTTACACCATTTTTTTTAATTCACAAACTGGACATAATTTTTTTGGCCATTTAAAAACTGAACATGATTTTTTTCTCGAATTTAAAACTTGAACATAAATTTTTGGCCGCGGGAAAGGGGACATACATTTTTGGTTATCTATTCATAAATGGAATATCTACTTTCTTACAATTTATAGCGTGGACTTAAATGTAATCTGAAAACTGCACATAAATTTTCGATATTTAAAACTAAAATAAATTTTTTTTCTACAACTTAAAACTTGAACCTAAACTTTTGTTGATTTAGGAACTGGAAATAGATTTTTGTGTTTTGATAATTAAAGACCTGAGAATACATATTTGGCCAACTGAAAACTGGACATAAAATTTTAGTAATGAAAAAAATTGGACATAAATATTGGTTATTTAAAAACCGGACATAAGTTTGTGGAAACATAAAAATTTAAAAAATGTTTGGTAATGATAAAACTGAAAATACATATTTGTTCAATTACAAACTGGACATACATTTTAGTAATGAAAAAACTGGACATACATATTGGTTATTTAAAAACCGGACATAAGTTTGTGGAAACATAAAAATTAAAAAAATGTTTGCTAATGATAAAACTGAAAATACATATTTGTTCAATTACAAACTGGACATAAATTTTAGTAATGAAAAAACTGGACATATATATTGCACCTCATTATGGTAAATTTATTGGGCCACAAAACTATATACAAAAAATTTTTCCTAAGAAATGGAATTGAAAAGTTTAAAGTTTTGATGAAATTTGTTTCGTATATCTTAAATTTTCCCTAGATCTATATAAAATTTAAAAAAAAAATTGATTCTGCTGTTTTTTTCTGTTGAATGAACTATATTTTCATATTTTTGACGCTGACTGTAAATGACCATAAATGTATGTCCAACCACTTGCGTTCTAGCACAGCACCAAGCATGCAAACTATCTTGTCGTAGATCAACACACACCTCTACTGCGACCGCTCTATGCAGCCGAGTTAGCTACAGCGGTCAAGAACCCCAATGAGAATTATGTAACCTCAATAAAGCAAGGTCTAGCTACCCTAGAATGCAGATTGCTGCTCCTCCACCGATAGCTGTTTTTTAAGCGTGGATTTCCGGTCTTTCATAGAAACCTCAAGTGCGTTATCGAAACTTGCTTGCAAGGCTTTCGTACTTCATGGCCTCTCTTGCATCGTGGGATTGCGGTAGCGCGAGGTATTTTTAAGCATTCTAGCGGTCTTGTTCTGTAGAAATCGCTTAACTTCTATTTCCTGAGAGAAATCGGCAACAGTTTCCATTGCGACGATCCCCTTGGCATTGAATTTCATTACCATTTATCAACATATGCCGCTAGAGTCTGGCTAACAGACCCCTGTGAGGTGGCTAGCTTCATAGCCATGCTGGCTTTTGATTTTCACTCTGTTTCATAGGTCATAGATTGACCTGCCCTTTCCAGTATAATCCTCAAAAGTTTTGTTACTATAATATTCCATGTTGATTGAAGATAGGAGACCTAAGAGACCATGCAAATGTTGGCCCCCACTCTTATCAGGGTATTCAGAGTCGTGATCGCAACGTACCTCGAGGTCCACCAGCATTACAAATGTATAAAAACGAAAGCAGCCCCAGCATTAACAAATCCACTTCTGTAGGGATACTTTCACGAGCAGGCAAATTTCAACAAATCAAAATCGTAGGTTAAATGGATTAGTCTAAAGGCTGAGCCAGGGTCAAGTCAAAAAGAAATATTTTCAACTTTGGTCACCTGTTCCCTAACCATGGCTTAGGTTAAGTTTGAATGTCTTCTATCACATTTCAGGCACATTAAGTATCTACTTATAGCACGGTGTAAAATCAGCCCTATATTCTTTTGTGCAACAAAAGGTGAGGATAATTTACATAATATCATAAGTCATCACTTGGCGCAATACCTCGTATCTGCCAAATTCAGTACCACGTATGAGGTGCCATAGAAAAATAAGTATTTTGGTCTCAATGCTTCCCTACTTCACAAATTTAATAATAAATAATTATAGTAAAAGCTCATATTTATTTCGTTAGTTTATTTAGCAAACCATTCAAACGTTTTGAAGAAAATATATTTTTTTGCATTTTTATTGTATTTGTCGGATACGAGGTATTGCGCGCCAAACGACGAAATATTACAGTTTGACGCAATAATCAATGAAAAAGTACCAGCTTAATTCGGTTTGTACGGGTGCCCACAGTAGATGAAAACTACTTGAAGATAAGAAATCACTGCGTATTTTAAACTGATATTTAAATGGACGTAAGTGCCAGATAGTCGGGCTGGCTATCACAGAACCAAGAAAGAATTGCAAAATAATCGTGATATACTTCACACTTCACACTGATTTAACGCCTATCATTTCGTATAAAATCCCTACAAATTTATGGCAAAAATATATTTAAAAAAAAAATTTAGCGTCTTTAATGAGCAAAAATAGTGGTAATATGTAGAAGAAGACACATTATTACCATTTCTTATCAGTTTGGTATTTAAGGCCAACCCATCTAGACTGCGTTGGCCAAAACCAAATTGGTTATTATGAAGTTAACAACGACGTTATTGCTGCTAGTAGCAGGCAGCTGCTGCCTCCTCCAAGGCTGCACTGCCGGTGTAATTGGTAGTCCAGAGCAAGCGATCGATGCTCAACCACCAGAGCCGATCGTGCCCAACAGCGTTGGAGATAAGGAGTATGCTAAGCTAGAGCCATTAAGTGAGAATAAGGAAGAAATTATTGCGCCTATTTTCGAGCGTGGCTTATACATTGAACCCACCAATGGCGGTGAAGAGGATTACGTGAAGCCAGAACCCTACAATGTGGGCCCTGAAGAAATCTCCGAACAAGTACCTGAAGTGCCGCAAGCAATTGAAGAACCACAAGTGAATAATGGTGAAGCTGATTACGTGAAGCCAGAACCCTACAACGATGGCGAAGAGGAAGTCTACGCATATGCACCTGAAGTGCCGCAAGTTATTGAAGGACGTGCAAGCGGTGAGTTTAGAAAAAATATATGAAAAATTTTACAAGTTTTTAACATACCTTTGTATAAATCATTCCCTTTCGCCCCACTTAGAATGCAAAGTAACCATACGCGGCGGCCTACCCAGCCCGCAGCCTGTTTACTTGAAGACAGACTCAGAGGAATTCTATCCCTATGATGCCACCGGTGTTATGGTTGTTGATACGGGCAAGACTTTGGAGATGTGGTGCCCTGGCAAATTTTCATCAATTTCCAAAACCCTCATCACCGCCACCTGCGTCAGTGGCAGCAACTTCAAGGTCGATGGCACCACTTACTCCTTCAAGGAACTGACTTGCAATTCCTGGCCAGGTTTTGTAGCTGAAAAGTCCGGTGCCTCATGTAATGGTGGCGTTATGGTGCGCGTGGGTTTCAAAATCTCCTCCAGCCGTTTCGCCAAACAGTACGAAGTCTGCTTCGATGAAGACGAAGAGGTGACACGTTATGTGCATCACGATCTCAATCCAGGCAGCAACTACTATCAAACTGGCGTAGATCGCATCACTTTCCAAACCGCTGGCTTCTTCGATGGCAAAAACGTTGACAATTTATACAAACAAACTACACAGGAGGCAACCATTAACTCACAATTGGGAGGTGATGCTAGCCAATATTTTAACTCCAACAAGAATATTTATCTGGCACGCGGTCATATGGCCGCCAAAGCTGACTTCGACTATGCCAGCGAGCAGCGCGCGACTTTCTTATTCATCAACGCTGCGCCGCAATGGCAAGTCTTCAATGCCGGCAACTGGGCACGCATAGAGGATGGTGTGCGCGCTAAGGTTTCGTCTGCTAAATGGTACGTGGATTGTTATACCGGCGTTTACGGTGTGACCACACTGCCCAATGCGAATGGTGTGCAGACACCATTGTACTTGGCCTATGATAGTAACAATAATGGGCTGATTCCTGTGCCCAAGCTGTACTTCCGTATTGTGATTGAGCGTACCAGCAAGAAAGGTATTGTCTTCATTGGTGTGAATAACCCGCATTTGACCTTGGCTGAGATTAAGAAGGACTATATACTTTGCACGGATATTGCGGACCAAGTCGATTATATCAACTGGAAGCGCACGGATATCACTACTGGTTATTCTTACGCTTGTTCGGTGGATGACTTCAAAAAGAAGGTGTCACACTTGCCATCTGTTTCGGCCTCTGGTGGTTTGCTGTTGTAAGATCGAAAATTTGGGAATTTTTTCGGTGGCTTCAATAAATTTTGATTAAATTTTAATTGAGTTTAGATTTTAAAAGTTGTAGGTCCAACATTTTTTTTACACAATTGGCTCATCCATATCCAGATACCATGAAATGAGAAGATTGTTATGAGAAAATTATGGTCAACGGCAAATTTTTATTGGGCCATTGAATTGATGAGGCGATACTGGATTTTCCTTCTAGGGAAATAAATAGCTTAGGTTAGGTTAATGTCGCAGTCAGTCCAAAAGACCAACTCGTTTAGACACTGCAGGTCCATTGTTATACCGTTGTGAAAGACAGAAACATCATTTACTATATTTCATGGAACCATTTTGAAGCTTTTATGAAGCCTTAGATTGCTTTTATTCCTGCACCGGATAATTTCGTGAGAGAGAAAAATAATTCTTTAACTAAAAAGCCTGCTCTGCTCTTTGCTAAATCTGAGCGGCTGCAGAACAAGTGTCCGGCTGATACTTCCTCTTACTCATCTCTGCAACTTCCATAAAGTTCATGGGGGAATATTCCTAATCTCGAAGAGTGCCTCCCAAATACCCACAGTTCGTAACTTTCCAAATGTCTTATTTTGGGAGACTGAGATGTACTTCAGTTTTTCTGTTATCAATTCAAGGCCATAGTAGCCTAGCTATTACACAAGTACTCGCATCTAACCATGACCTATAGGTCTCTTGGATAATGCTATTTCTAATCACAGTAGAAGGTAGGTACCTTCCCTTGGCCAGCTAATCGGTCCCGCTATTTCCTTCAATATCTTTATGACCCGGGATCCATATGAGGCTGACCTTAAATTCGGTTCTAATATCATTTAGGTCTGCTAGGAATTCCTGTGCAATTTTTGATCCGAGCATTCATTCATCAATTCGATGGGCGCCTGACTATCCGAGAAGATATTTGTCGTTGCCTTCATTACGCCACCTGCGTTATGGCTAGAACTTCTGCCCAATGAACGCTGCTGTGATCCGGAATTCGTACGGATAATTCCAATCCTAATTACTCAGAGAAAACTCCTTGGCGAGACGTATTGTCTAGCTTAGATACATCATTGTTAAAATTTTATTCCCCCCTTCCCTATGGTCTTAACGGAGCTTTTGCCTTGAAGAGCCTATCGAAGATGGATTCAGGGGCGGAGTAGTCGATTTCTTCATCACTACTATCGAGGGCATGAACTATAGAAGCGTGGCTGAGCCACCGATATTTCCATAACGACATACATTTTAGTCTGAGCGCCCAAGCGGCGGCCACGTGTTTTCCTACCAAATTTACAGCAGGCAGATTTTTTATCACCAGAGACCTTACTAAGGAGTTTTAGATTACTTGCCTTTTGAGTTGATGGCCACCATATAAGCATTCAATAGGCCTAACTACAGAATGGTAAAGCCAATGAGTAATGAGAGGTATTAACCGCCATTTGATTCCGATCGCTTGCTTGCATGTGTATAATGAAATGGTGAGCTTCTTAACCCTGTCCTCTGTATTACCTTTCCATGTAAACTTCCTATCTAATTTGAGTCCTAGATATTTAAAATTCTCCTTCAAAGGAATCTTCCTACATTTTCCCATGTTTCTTCTGTTATGTCGGGGTTTTTTCAGAGTCCCCTACTCTCTGTCCAGGTTCTAAGCCTGACCATATTAGAGCGCGGAATGTCCATAAAGGTAATTGGGTATTTATACCCGAGCGCACTTGTGCACAAGGGTATATTAATTTTGTTCACATAACGGTTGTTTGTAACAGCCAAAACGAATCGAGATAGATATAGACAAATGTATACATAAATGATCAGGATGAAAAAAGAAATCGATTAAGCCATGTCTGTCTGTCTGTCCGTCCGTCTGTCCGTCTGTCCCTTTGTCCGTGTACACGATAACTCGAGCAAAAATTGAGATATCTCAACGAAATTTGGTATGTAGGTTTCCCTTAATCCAAGGTAGGTTGGTATTGAAAATGGGCGAAATCGGACTTTAACCACGCCCACTTCCCATATAACGGTAATTTCCAGAAATACGAAAACGGCGATATTTTAGTAACTACTGAAGATAATTCACTCAAAATTGATATTTAAAATAATTTTTAGACGAAAAATAAGAATACTATACATTTTTGGAAAATGGGCGTAGCCACGCCCACTTATGGTTACATGTGCATATCTTGGTAACCGCTGCACCAATTTCTTCCAAACTTCGCACGGTTGTTGGCCTTGGTACAGCATAAAAAACCGCCGAAACTTTTTAAAATCGGACAATAACCACGCCCACATCCCATATAACGGTAATTTAGAGAAATACAAAATCTTCGATAAATCATTAAATATTGAAGCTAATTTATTCAAAATTGATGCTTGTAACAATTCTTTACCAAGAAATACGTTTATGGTAAAATTTTGGAAAATGGGCGTGGCACCGCCCACTTATGATCACATATAAGTATATCGGTAACCGTTCTACCAATTTGTACCAAACTCGGTATGGTTATTGTACTTGCCACGTGTAAGCAAAACGTTGAAAATTATTGAAATCGGACTAAAATAACGGCCGATTCTCATATAACAGTTAATTTAAGAAATGCTTGAAACTTCAATATTTCGAAATTGAAGGACGCTAATTTACTCAAAACTGATACACCTCGGCTTACCATCTAGCGGAAGGTTTCGGAAGGGTGAAAAAACATATATTTAATACTTGCGCCGGGTATTTAATGTTCGGCTCCGCCCGAACTTAGACTTTCTTACTTGTATTTTTTTTTAATTTTGTTGACTTTAGATACCTCCAGCATTGCCTTACACGAACTCATATAAAAATTCTATGATCGATTAAGTCGAAAGCCAAAGAAATACAAATTTGCAGTAGTCCATAAAATTTTTAAAGAAGTATTTCCACTTTGGATAATAACTTTCACATGCTTTCACTTCCCTTCCGCGTGCATCCTTCAATCATTCACACAACACTTTTCACGGAAAATTGCGCCTATTCAATCATTTCCTTTTACATACTCAATTCAATAAGTGATTGCTCTGCTTTCACAATTTTAAATTACTCATTTCCTACAATACGTTCGTGAAACGTTCCTCCCACCCATGCCGGTCTCAATCTTGAGAGCATTGTCGTCTTTGTAAAATTCTAAAATTCACTTTTATGCGAACAAGCCGCTCAATCACCTGCAAACTGTCAGCATCAACAGCTGCAATTTAAGTCTCAGAATCTGGCGATATTGTATCAGAACATATGCATATAATCCATAGGAAAAATGTTAGTTGAACAAATGTGGCTTGGTTAAAGAAAGTTTGTGCGATGCCTACCGGCTTTTTTGTTATGCGCACAATAGCTATGTACATATGTATGTATGTATGTGTGAACATTAGGGTAATGCACAAATACTAGAATTATAGAAAAATATACAAATAGAAATAGCAGAAGTACAAAAACAAAAATTGACATGTATTTTTTTAAATTGCTAAATATTTAACCATGGCTCCAGTTTTTCGAAATTTTTCATATATTTTATATGCGGAGAATATATGGGGCGTTCCATACCAAAATGGACGGGGTTCATACTCCATGTGTTTGATTTGTCTGAAATTTTTAGGGTTGATGGATAAACATAAATTATAAATAAATATGAAATTTGAGCTTGATTAATAGATTTTTAAAAATTTTACAGCACAAAAACAAAATCAAATCGATTTAATAGTTTTCCAAATATCTCGAGAACGGGGCGAGAAAAAAATTAAAAAAAAAAAACAATTATACACACACACAAAATTATCTATGAAAATAAATATTTTTTACATTTTTTTCTTGAAAAATTTTTCACATACAAATTTTTTGTTAAAAAAAATTAGTTTTTGAAAAAATGCTATCTCAGAAAAAATTTAAAAAATGACCGTGGTCGCTCTGAGTATTGCGCAATTTATATAGTATAGTATTATGGGGTGCACTCTACTATAATTTGAGTTATGAATTTTTTTACACCGAAGTTGAGTAAAATGAGTACATTACGAATTTACAAATTTTTAAAATTTTTTTTAGAATTTCTTTGAGTATGCAGTTTTATAGCCCATTAAATTTTAATGGTGCAAGTGTTAAGCGATTGCAAAACTGGCGTTCATTTTTTTTTTTAATTTTATTTACAAAAGCCGTCAGCATAAAAATATTAAAAATCATCGCAATTTCGCAGTAGTACATTATCATTACAAAATCTAATCTACAAAACTGCATACCTACTCAAAAAAATTCTAAAAAAAATTTTAAACATTTAAAAATTGGTATTGTATTAATTTTACTCAACTTCGGTGTAAAAAAAAATTCATAACTCAAATTATTTTAGAGTGCACCCTATAATGCTATACTTAAATATTGCGCAATACTCAGAGATACCATTGTGATTTTTATTAAATTTTTTTTTGAGATGGCATATTTTCAAAAACTATTTTTTTTTAACAAAAAGTTGGTATGTGAAAAATTTTTCAAGAAAAAAAATTTAAAAAATATTTATTTTCATAGAGAACTTTGATGTGTGTATGTGTGATTTTTTTAAAAAAATTTCCTCGCCCCGTTCTCGAGATATTTGGGAAATTTATGTATTAATGAAACTCAAATTTCATATTTATTTATTTTTTATGTTTATCCATCAACCTTAAAAATTTGATACAAATCAAACACATGAAGTGTGAACCCCGTCCATTTTGGTATGGAACGTCCCATATATTCTCCGCATATAAAATATATGGAAGTTGTAAGAAGAAAGCCACCGACAGTCGCGGCGCCCGCGCATGTTTGCCAGCCACATCCGCCACTTTATCTTCACGCCGCCTTAACTTTCCACCGCCGTCGTCGTCGTCGCTGCTCCAAACTCTTTCACAGTGCTGTATGTAAATTTTTCTAAAAAGCGCCTGCAGGCTTCATCAATTTGTAAATCTACTCATCCTTGCAATAGCTTACAAGTCGCCGCTTGTGCCACGTTTAC